TTGCACACGTGTGTCCAACCATTTGAGTAGGGAAATATTTTTGAACTCCAATCAGATTGAGGAATGAAGAATAACAAACACGAATACGATATTCCAGTAATCGGAGTTCGATAAAATTTCTTTCCTCAAATAATTGGACACACGTGCAAAATGGAAGATTGGAATTAGAGAGACGCCGAATAAATGATACAATTAGGGAATATGACTTTATAAGAAGTAGTTTCTCATGTCCTTGTCCACAATGAGCCCTGTATCAATACTCAATTTAGCTACAAGTGGGTGAGATGAGTGAATTGCGAGTAAAAGTTATTTGGATCTAAAAATAGGACGAACAATTTGACTTAAAGATGTTTATAGGTTGTGGAATTTGCATTTCGCATGTGGTGATTTTGGATAGTTAGATGGTCTAATTGAGTTGTATTCTTTTAATGGTCATAACTTGTCTGTGGGATTTTTGTGCAACACGTCAACAATGAAAGGAACAGAATTGAAGGATGATGAATGGAGTGCAACTCTAAAAAATTAGTGACAATTATGAAGTATTTTAAAGTTTGATGAATTAATCGTGACCACAATATAAGTTAGGTGGGTAATGAGACATTTTACTTTAATAGTTTGACGGAGTTAAATTTTTTTTAACGATCGTAAGTTGATACACGTGAGTTTCGTTTGACAAGTCAAGAAATGAGGAGAACGAAATCTTTCGTAAAGTGCAAATAGACAAAGTTCAGTGAACAATGTGAATCACTTTGAATTTTAGGGAGTAAATTATAATCATGATATAAGTTGGGTGATTAATAAAACATTTAACTCCAAGTTAGTGAATATATGTAATGGGAACAATACATGTATAAGGTGTTTACTATATACAATTTTATTTTTAAAAAACAAAGTTTAAACATTCAAAAGTTAGGTGATAAATACTATATAAAATATAGTATATTTATAGTAAATATATGAATTAGATTCTAATAAATATCATATAAAATCATGCAATTAATTACGACATATTTTTATTACAAATAAGACTCTCCATTTTGAGCAAACCGTGACGATCAAATAAAATAGAAAAGCGAACTCTCTAGAGCAAAAAATCTCGTTTTCAACAGCTGAAATCTGACTCAATTAAAACAACCAAATTACAAAGTTGGAAATCGGCACTTAGGAGCAGATTTTCAGAAGGCAATGGTCACAAAAGAAGGTAATAACAGAGGTAGCAAATTGAGCTTGGTGATCTTCCTGAATTAGGTTGATCATAACTCCAGTTATTTGAAGTTTGTTGAACTATAATTTAACAGGTTAATATGTAACATTTACACATTGAACTGTGGCCTATAACCAATGATAAGTGACATTTGCACATAAATCAATGACCAATTACAATTGCACAAAGATATGTTGACATTGATCTGCGACCTATACACTACGACATTTAATTTGTGAACTGTTACCTGTGACCTATAATCTGTATATGATTGTAGTGTCCTGTAATAGCGGCAACGTTTGTTGTATTAGCATATTCCATTTTCTTATTACTTTGTTTAGTTTTGTGTCCGAGTTGTTTGGCAATTGTATATGGTTTTTTTTGTTAAGTAGCAGCCACCGTTGTGGTGATATTTGTAGTGCAGTATATGTTCCTTGACTGCAACATATTTAGGTAGAAGATTGACATCAAATATCACACAAAAGTGGTCATAAGCCCCTTGATAAAGTCTATAGACATGATAGAGAAATGAAAATTGGATAGTAATTAGCACAAGAAAATGTCTAACAAACTCTAGGTAGGAGAAAATCTGACTTAGTATTACTTCTATAGATGATTCCGCCATTCCAATTTCAACAAATGATATGGTTACTACATTTAACAACTTGAAGACAGTAATTACCACTAATGGATTCGGGATAAGTAAAGGGATAAAAAGTTGTACAATAATAAATGGTATGCCATTGCAGCTACTATTATAGTTACTACATTTATTAACTTAGGAATTAAAATTAGATGCCATTTGCAACATGGAAGATCCCCATCACAGTAATCATAGGAACACTTGAATCTTATAAAACCACTCGAGAATATTTACTACTAGCATGTCATCAACCACACTTAATTGTTTAACTATGCTCCTTCACTGACTTTCTCCTGTCACAATCCCATTCCTCCTTGATGCGGTGAATGTTGATAATAATATGGAATAGCATGACCTAACACACAACACGAAAATGAATAAGTCAACATGACATTATGGCGTAGAAATTTAAGTTTTTATCAATGTTGTTACCTTGGAAACTGAATATAAAATGCATTGCCGACGAATGGATCAAACTAGATGATGGATAGGGTTGTGTAAACAAATTATTTCCTCGTGGCCTTATAATAAATAACAACGTCAATAATGAAGTAACTTAAAAAGAACAAACGAAAATGCTATAATAAATATACTAACCATCAAGAGTTATGAATATGCGAATGGTGAACACGTGGAAGATTGTTCTCGTTGATATGCATCAACATCGGTTGCACCCATTGGTATACTGTTATGCATTACTATTGATCGATTTCTTTTGCATGTCGAAGGTGCCTACATGTACATTTAAAATGAATGAGAATTATTTTTAGTATTTTGTTTAAGTTTAGAGGAAAAATAAATCAAAATACCTTCGTCTTCTTTGAAGTCAACTCCAAAGGACTCTTCCTCTGAAGTTTTCTAGACGCACCCTTTCTCTTTGTCGATTTAGGATCTCACATGCTCACGCTGCATGTATTTTGTGAACTAGTATACTGAGATCCTGACTGAATAGTATGTCGACTAAAGATATTGCTTCCACTACTCCACTTTGTCATTGAAAGCTCTTTAGCTTGAACTTGTATTCATTCCATTATCGCATGGGTTCCACTTTCATCATCTACCACAAGGCCTGCCACTTCGGCGAAAGCTTTACACATATTGTCATACCTCAGCTATCCCGAATTATTGACCAACCCGTCGTATTTTATTTTGATCCTCGTGTACGATCGACTGACATCCCTCCTCCACCTACACAATATATACCTATCGGCAGTACGTTCACGTCGTTAAGGATCAATACTGCGATCGCATGTCTGTAAATGATTCTCCAAATCTCATACAAGTGGCAGCTGCAAATAACTGCACAATTATCCTTCTAGAAAGAGAATTTTTTTTTTACGTCGATCGACGTAAACGACATCTTCCCGTACCTCATATTTTATCCCAAAACATCCATCTGAAGTAGATATGAGCTCATAGTAAACCTTACCCGTGAGCTCAGCTAGAACTTATTTGAATTTTGAAATTGTGTATACTGCCTGAAATTGCTTTTCCATTTCACATGTTGTTGCACATGGAACCATTTGAGAGAGCGACTTAAAATCTGCCCGAAACTCCTTCTCCACCTTGTTCATCAATGCTCGCTCATACTATTCAACGAACTACTTCAATGATACCATCAGAAAAAGAGTTCATGCTTTCACTCCACTGTGTTGTTGACATCCCAACCGAAAAAGTTGTTTTAAAAAGCAAGGAACCCAACGACCTCTGTTCTCATAAAATCCCGACAACCATTCGCTATCATGCAACTCAAATGTTTTGATCATCTTTCTTAACATTGTTCAAATTATTCAATCGTCTGAGAATCATACACCAATACATGTATTTTGGTATCCAAATTTTTTGGGCATCTTCTTCAAAATGTACCACAAGCGCCATCTATGCTTTGTATTTGGAAAAACTATCCGAAAATCCACACGAATGTATCTGTATTCTCATTCCAGACCAAAACACAACCGAATAGTGTGGATTGTCCGTGGTGATTGACGCCAACAAAAAGGTGTGAAAGGCATGTCATATCCGTTAGTCAGATAAGTGGTATCAAACATGACGACGTCCCCGAACTCCTTATTTGCTTCCCTACATTGATTATCTGCCCAAAATACATTCTTTAATCGCGAATCGTAGTCCAAATCCATGCATAAGTAAAATCCTACACACTGTGCTTGTATATCTGAAAGATAGGACTGTATTGCTGCTACATCTCCTTCTCCAAGGCTTAATCACCTAACTTGTTCAATGTAGTTTCGACTATCCTTTTCCACACATGTCATATTTTCATATCCACCTGCTTCAACAACTGCAGAATTGAAACTTTTGTGCAATGAAATTCCAACCATGTCATTCACTTCAAGCTTCTGTTTCACATATGCATTCAATTCTCGATTGCATCGATACAATCTCGACTTTGTTGGACTTGTTTTGTGATTGTGGTTGAGGTGCACTGTGTTAATTTTCCAGTACTCATGATTATTTGCAAATGCAAAGATTCTGACTTTACAACCTGTCTGAATTGTTGGTTGCTATTTCAAAGAACCATTTGTGCTACCGCTTCTTCGGCCTTCATGGCTACATATGAAAAGTCACATATCGCAAAAATCCATCGTCGTCCTTTCTTGAATTCCTTTTCCTCACCGAAAAACCTAGGTTGTAAGCATATAATTTGTAAAAATCAAAGACTTCGTGTACATCTTTGAACTTCATACCAACCTTTGGCACAATCGCTCCATCTCCTCCCACCATTTCGTCTTCACTACATTCATATTGTATTCCATGTTGACATTTTCAGATTCCACCAAAGAATCATTTTCCACGTCTTCCATCATCTATTCTCCTATGAAAAAAATTAGAAGACACTTTTACCACAACAATTTCACATTTATAGCAAAATAATGATTTCAACATAAGTGAAAATGGATTGAAGCACCCCTTCATTGTTGAAATTTTAACAAATATAATTTCATTCGCAAATATCACATTCAGACACAGAACTATGAAGTAACTGAGTTCAAACATCATAATATTATAGATGTTTGCACATGTTCTCAATATTTCAAAATATGACCCTAAACAATAATAAGTATCCGAAAACAAAAATCATACCTTCAATTGAATATACCTAGGCAATGCTGGGTTTCTAGCTTTTTGGGGAAAATGAGTAAGATGGAGTGCTACCAGGAAAAAGTACGTGAATCAAGGTCAAACTCGTCGTCGGTGAAATTGCTCAAGTCGGCTTGTAACCTTACGTGGTCGAGATCGAAGTCGGTTGGGATCGAACTCGTCGCCAATGATGTCCACGGGATTGGCTGAAAAATTAGGGTTGGAATTTTGATGTCGTCGGATCAAAATATTAGAGGTTGAATTTTTTAGTTTTTTCGGGTTGTCTTATGATGTCTTTCACTCATTTCCTGCCTTCCTGAGCATTTCCATTTCTTTTTCTTTTTGCATCTTAGCCGTCCACGTCTATTGCATTTCACTCGTACACGTACTATTGTAACCTATTGTTGTAACCCAATGCTTTACAAGCAGATTTATTGTTTCAATAATTTCAGTGGAAAATGTCACAAAATCTGAGAGTGGAGAGAGATTGGTGTAAATGCTTTCAATAAGTGCTATAAATGTTGAAATTGGTGCCAAGAGAGTAAACGGGAGTGGAGAGAAAGAGGATATGTAATTAATTTAGCCATGTTTGGCTACTTTTCTTTTACTTTTTAATGTTTGAAATAATATTTTTTTTGAAAAATATGTAATTATAAAAGAATGAACAATTTTTAATTTACGTGTAATATTATTTTATGAAAGATTGTGTGATTGAAAATAAGAGAGGGAAGAAAAATGAGAATGAGAAAAGGGCCCTACGGCGGCTTAATTAGTAATTGAATATTGATAATATATTTATTTAATAAATATTAAATATCTAATTATAACATGAATTACAAAAGATACTTAAAATCAAATTTATGAAATGTAAACTTTAAAAATAGGCCTAGGTTTAATTTCCTCATGCGTAATTTCCCCTTTCATTAGTAGGTTGCAAATGCTTCCATGTCCAACTAGGCCCACAATGAAGGTGCCTAAGCCCAATAGTTAAAAGCCCACCCATTGATAATCTTGCCTGAATATAGGAGCATACATTAAACACCAATTCACAAATTTTTTTCCATAAAGAAAATTTGAATTAAGGGTGCGTTTGATTGCAAGGGTGGAAAATGGGTGGAAAGAAAATGTTTTACAGGGAAAATGTTTGCCTAGAAAATGTTTTGCAGGGAAAATGATTTCAAGTGTGTTTGATTGGTATAATT